GCAAATTCAAACCACATGAAATATCACCCCATGCCTGTTAGAATGTCCATCATCAAAAAACAAGAGATAACAAATGCTGTCATGGATGTGAACAAAAGGGAACCCTTGTGCACTGTTGGTGGGACTGTAAACTGGTACAACCACTATGGAAAACAGCTTTAAGTTTCCTTAAAAAATTAAAAATAGAACAACCATAGTCTGGCAATCTCACTTCTAGGAATATATCCAAAGGAAACAACAACACAAACTCAAAAAGATATCTGCACTCCTATGTTCATAGCAGCATTATTTACAATAACCAAGATATGGAAACAACTTAAGTGTCTATTGATGAATTAATGGATAAAGAAGTTGTGAGAGAGATATATAAAACAATGGAATGTTATTCAGCCATAAAAGCCAAAGAAACCCTACCATTTGTGACAACATGGATGGAACTTGAAGACATTAAGCTAAGTGAAATAAGTCAGACAGAGAAAGACAAATACCGTATAATCGCCTTTACATGTGGAATTTAAAACAAACAATAACAAAAAAAGAAACATAACACCAAACCTATAGAAAAGGAGATAAGATTTGTGGTTACTAGAGGTAGAAGGTGGTCAAGTTCAGACTTTTAGTTACAAGATACGTACTAGGATATAATGAATATGATGACTACAGTTATACTACTGTGTGATATATAGGGAAGTTGTTAAGAGAGTAAATCCTAAAAGTTCTCATTACAAAGAATTTTTTTTCACTTTACCTTCTTTCTTTTCTTTTTATTGTATCTATAGGAGATGAACATTAGCTAAGCCCATTGCAGCAATGATTTCACAATAAATCAAACCATCATGCTGTGTGCCTTAAACTTACACAGTGATATATATTAATTATTTCTTAGTAACACTGGGGGAAGTTTTCTTGAGGGAAGGGTGTGGGAACTGGGCATGTGACAACAAAGGTTGAGGAGCCTTTTCACAATATGTATTCACATATGTTTTTTGAACCATGTGAATATATCACCTACACTAAAATTAAATTGTAAAATAGAATATATGACGTGAACAGTCCTATGCTTTGCAACCCTTTAGCTGAGTGTTCACAAACTAGAAACAGAATAAAGAAAAGTAAAACATTTTCATGAATCTCACATTCCAAATTTGACAAGATATTTCCATTTTAAATTTTTTCCATAACGTACAACTGACTCAAAATATTTCTTTTATGTGAAATTTTATATTGTTGATATCAGTTCAAAAATGAATTTTAAAAACTTGAGCAGGATCCATCCAGCCTCCTCATAAACTAGGAGAGAGTGAAAGTACATATGTAAAGCCTAACCAGAAAAAAAGCAAGAGATCTAATTTTTCCTTTTGGCAGAAAAAAAAAAATCCCCTCAAACCTTTAAACCTAACAAGATTATAGTTATCATTGGGAAAGAATATAATTTTAGCCATGCATGCCAGAGAAAGAGGTAAAGTCTGTTTATACTTAAACTAAGAGGTGGTGGAGTCCTGAGCCCACAGTGAACATTCCCATCCAGCAACATTTTAATAGAAAAAGCACTGAAGAACATAATCTGGGTTGTTAGCTGTAGTGTGGTTGACCATTAATAGAATTCTAGTGAGGGAACTGTCTTTTCTACTGATTCAGTTTCTGATCTGTTCCTTGTCTCAAACTTGTACTACAAGGCATACTGCAGACAACCCATCTGAAATCAAATTGGATCAAACTAAAAGATTATGCTACATACGATTTGTACAGTGCTCTTAACAATATACATTTTGGGGTGCCTCGATGGTACAGTCGGTTGAGCTTCTGACTTTTGGTTTTGGCTGGGGTCCTGATCTCAGGGTCATGAGATCAAGCTCCAGGTTGGGTTCTGTGCTCAGGGTGGAGTCTGCTTGAAGTTTCTCTCTCCATCTCCCTCTGCCCCTTCTAATCCTGCTCTCTCTGTCTCTCTCAAATAAATAAATAAATCTTTATAAACAAACATTATACATTTCTGAGTTGTTCCAGAGCCTGACCAGGGACTAGCTGTTGAGAATCAGATGGGGCATTTGACCTCTTTCCAGGTCCATGGGCCTAGATTTATTCCCTTGTAGATAACATGAATATTAGTTAAGTAACCATAGAATACTTAGTTCTATGAAATTGAACCGTTTTCTCCAATATAGGAATGTTAGTAATAGATAACATTTGGATAGGATTAACTTGTGCCAGTGACAGTGCATTTGCTTTCCAAATTCTGTCTCGTTTAATTTACACACAACCTTGAAATAGTTCTATTATTCTCCCCATTTTAAAAATAAGAAAAATAAATGAGATTTAGAAAGATTAAATAACTCCTTAAAGTCACTGGCATCAGCCCCAGTGAGTGAGAACTCACCGTCTCTACTACTACATCAAAAGTTGCCAGCTCTAGGCTGATTCTAGAAAGCATTATACACACATAATATACTAGTGTACATATCATTTCAGTTTACCAAGTGGTTGGGATGCATGTCTTATTTGAGCCTCACAACAGCACTATAAATTTGAAAAGTGGTCTTATTCTCATGTATAGACACAGAAAATGGAACTCAGATCACCTAGCCAGTAAGTAGCAGTTATAAGGTACCATGTTAAGTCTTCCAACTAATTATGTCCAGCATGTTCTTTCATTACCCTAAATTTTTGAAGATAAATTTTGCTTCTAACAGCCTTTACTATTTAAATGGTTTAATCTTTCATATTTTAATCACATAACTAAATGTGATTTTTAAAAGAGCAAATATTTCAGTTAGATAAGTGAAATTATAACTCTCCTAATTTTTAAAGCCATTATCTATAGATAGACATTAGACATAGAAAAACAATTTTAAAGTGTCGATTATATTTCAACATAAGGAAATAGTCATATAAATGTATTTTGTGCTTGATAAGTGCAGTTACATCTAGAATTTTAATCAATTATCTAAGAATTTCTTTTTTCTTTGCATCTCTAATTAATACCATTTTAGTAATAAAATTATTCAGATTTTAATCCATTCATTTTTGAATTGCTTTTATCCAACAAATATTTCATTTCTGAAGTTATCCCAAGAAAGTTTCAAAAGAAGTTTATCATAGAAAAAAAAATGTTCGATAATAATTGAGCTCCCCTTAGAATGATATAGGAAAGCTTAGTTATCCAGCAATATTTCATATATCTAACTTATAAAAGACAATCTGGAGGGAGGCTATGGGAAAGGAACCAATTGCCATTAATTAAACCAGTTTTTAATTATTATGTAGTTTTTTGCTTCATTCTAATTCCTACAGATAGAAAAGAATCCAGATGAAACAAATTTCAAATTAGTATTTATAGTGTCTTCCTAAATTTTTTTTAAAGATTTTTATTTATTTATGCATGAGAGACACACAGAGAGAGGCAAAAACATAGGCAGAGGGAGAAGCAGACTCCATGTAGGGAGCTCAATGTGGGACTTGACCCAGGACTCTGGGATCACACCCTGAGCCAAAGACAGATGCTTAACCACTGAGCCAACCAGGCGTCCCTCTTCCTAAAATTTTTCATTGCTTTACTGTCATTTTATCAGTAATTTGGGAACATTATACATCCCAGAGTGAAAGAGTAGCTCTGTAGTCAGAAGTGGCTGGTGCTTATATTCTCATAAATCCTGTGCATCACCCCCTCTTGCCTCCCTGAAAAACTCACTTCATTAGCAAGATGTGGAAAGTTGACTGACAGTTTCCTGAGAGAGATAGAGGTTTGGTTAAGACTGGGAGGGTGGGGTGCCCGGAACATTATTCCAGAACCCCAGCTGACACCTCCAAGCAGCTGGTCCAACCTCGCCTTTGCTAGAGACTTTCAACTCTCCATCTCCAAGCTCTTCAGTTTTACGTGTATACACTCAACACTTGTCAGTGTGTATGTGTGATGTAATAATATTTTGCTTGCCACAAGTAAAAATGAGCATAATTAAACAGGAAAAGAAGATGGAAGTTCATATTTGTATTATAGACACTATAAATGTTAAGTTTAAGGCTTTTGACATTTATCTACTCTTTTTTCAACTGGACACATGCCATAGAAGATACTTTTGCTTTTTTGTTTGTTTTTAGTTGCAAGAGAAGAGACCACAATCATTGACTTGTTTATTTTTGGTAATGGTGGCAAAGTGGTGTCAGCGTCACTCTGCGCTGTCATCTGGCTCTCACCACCACCACCAGGCATACATTTGAGAAACAGCTTACATAAGTTATAAGTCTGGAGCTTGGATAAGAAAAAAATATCTTGATGTTTTACATAAAAATACATATTTCTGGCATCTATTGAAAATCTTCAGTCCCAAATTCCCACATGTTAACAATTCCCCAAAGCCAAGTGTTGGTTGACTCTGTGCATTTACATTTTCAGTTCTGAGTTCAGCTTTCCTGTCTACATTAACTGAACCTACCATGTAGGTCTTCTTCACCAGCTAATCCAAACAATTTCTGTGTCATTTCCATAGGTGCTCTTATTCTAAGATCATTAAAAATATATTTTCCGAGGATCCCTGGGTGGCTCAGCGGTTTAGCTCCTGCTTTTGGCTGAAGGTGTGATCCTGGGGATCTGGGATCGAGTCCCACGTCAGGCTCCTGGCATGGAGCCTGTTTCTCCCTCTGCCTGTGTCTCTGCCTCTCTCTCTCTACGTCTATCATGAATAAATAAACAAAACCTTTAAAAATATATTTTTCTCATTTTAAAGTAATTTTTAGGTAGATTTTATATTATTTTTGTATCTTAAAATGGGAACAAAATCTTTAGACAATTATATGGCATTCGAGTAATTTACAATTTTTGGGTGTGTCAGCTGCTATTCTTTTACACAAAATATAATTATTAACTTACCATTAAAAACATTGCTATCACCATTGTCTTCACAAATATTGAAAAAGTAAATATTTGCACATTAAGGACATCTTGGATTATTTTGTTCCGAAAGCATCTATCAAAATAATGCTTAAGACTTCTCTGGATCTTATTTTAGCACTGCATATGTCCTTGGAAGACAACATAAAATGGCTTGGAGAAGTTATGGCTGAAATAGGACCATCTCATTCACAGAAAAATGAGGAATGGAGTATCTTTAATATAAAACAAGCTAATGCTGTCATCGATTACTTAAAAATAAGGTATGAATTTTTTTAGTAGCATTTATTTTTTCATTTCTTTATCTTTTTACAAAATATCTATTAAATCAAAAAGAATTCAATTTTTAAGACCTTTACAGAATTTATACTGTAATTAACCCAGCCAATAACAAGGTAATATTAAATCTTTCATCCAACAAATAAATTCAGGACCTTGAGTTTTGGCTAACCTTTCATTTTTAAAAAAGATTTGTATTTGATGAGTATAATTTCACCAGAATTATAATTAATTATCCAATTTTTTTCTCTGAATCCCTAATTAATATTTCATTAACAAAATTATTCATTCACATTAATCAGACCTGATTACAATAGACTTTATATTTTAATAGTTTGCCTTGACATCAAAATTTTACATTTTAGAATAACATTCATTTACATTTAAAAATTTCTTTTATTTTTTAAGACTTTATTTATTTATTCATGAGAGACACAAAGCGAGAGAGAGAGAGGCAGAGACACAGGCAGAGGGAGAAGCAGGCTCCATGCAGGGAGCCCGACATGGGACTCAATCCCAGGTCTCCTGGATCACAACCTGGGCTGAAGGTTGTGCTAAACCACTGAGCCACCCGGGCTGCCCTAAAAATTTATTTTAAATGCTTTGTATTAGAAATTAAATAGTGAAAGGGAATATAAGAGAAGGGAGAAGAAATGTGTGGGAAATATCAGAAAGGGAGACAGAACATAAAGACTCCTAACTCTGGGAAACGAACTAGGGGTGGTGGAAGGGGAGGAGGGCAGGGGGTGGGGGTGAATGGGTGACGGGCACTGTGGGGGACACTTGACGGGATGAGCACTGGGTGTTATTCTGTATGTTGGTAAATTGAACACCAATAAAAATTAATTTATTTAAAAAAAAGAAATTAAAGAGATTTATGTGGATGCTTCCTCAAGTTTATTATGTGCCCTGAAATATTTTGTAGTATTGACCAATTAAACTCATTGTTTTTCTTTATGCTTAGAAAATGATGGTAAATAGAGGAAAAGTATTTTTATTATAGCTATTCTTCATTGGTGAAATAAGAAATCTATCTTTTTATATGATCTATCAGAGGGTCTGCATTAGAGGCATGCATCTCTCTCAAGGGACATGGACATTTTTAGAATTTGCAAATATTTAAACAAGAGTTGGTAAAAATCTTTCTTTTGCCTGACTAAAAGCTTCTGAAGAATATCTTTTTTTCCTCCATTACTATATACTGCAGTGTTTTCCAATTTTAAATTTTAAAATTCCAAAATAAGGAATGTCCTAGACATGCTCAAGATTTGCTTGGCAAGGATCCTGGCTGTAGTCTGGAAGCTTTTTAAATATTAATGTTTAATTTGATAAGGCTTATATACTGGTTTCTGGCATGAATTAATAATAGTATATGATATAATATGTTTTATATAATAACATTTGATATAATTTGATTTCTTAATATAAAACATATACCTCCTAATGTGTGTCTCTCACTAAAAGCTACAGTACTCTTCATATCAATTAAAGTAAAGCAAGGTCCTTGTGTGGAAAGTAAAGCTAGGAAGGAAGGGAAAGGAAATCCAGAATTAGACAACCTGTTCCCCAAGGTCTTTCTGCCCATCAGAATCGCTGGGTGAGGGGAATTCTCAGCCTATTTGTGTCGCATTCTTCTTTCCTTTCTTTATCTGTTTGAGTCTGCCAGGTCTCTCTTTGAAGAACACATTATTACCTCTGAGTTCTAAACCCAGGAAGTTCATAATGGACACCAGGACTGATAGTTAACTAACCCCATGCAGGCGCCCTAATGACACCTTCTAGGTGGTGAAAGGTGCCACTTGTCTCTTTTCATCTTGTCTCTCTGGACAAATGCTCAGCAGTCTATTTCTTGACATTTCATTTCAGAAAATGATTTTGTTAGGAAGGGATGTCAGTGTTAGTCACCATTAAATGCTTACCAGGGTAACTTCACTTACCAAAAATTTCTCATCTCATTTCTAAAAACACTAACAAAAAACTAGTATTTGAGAGGTCAGGTAAAGTGAATCAGAACTATTTTTATGCCATTAAATCTTCACATTGTGATTTCAAAGAATTAATACATTTTAAATGCATCTGTTACAGAAAATAAAATATTGCTTAGTATGATACCTAGGATTGATACTGGAGTTATGTAAAGAGCAATGTTCTTTTCTACAACTCCTTTTTAGAATGCCTCATAGGTTCACAAATATAAATTTAATGGCAATTAAACCAGATAATATTTTTCATTTTAATGACTACAAAGAAGTTTTATAAATATGAAGCTAACTCAATTATTGAAAGTATAAGCATGTTTCAATTTAATCTGATATTAAATTTACTCAACCAGTGAAAGCCCTCATCAATTTAGGGAGAGTAGTTTTTAGAACATGACCTATAGCACATGAAACTTAACTGGCAATAAAACTGAAATTTTATTTAATACTGTTAATAGAATCTAAATTGTATATTCAATCATGTATCTGTGAAGAAAACTAATACCAAAATACCTCACTAACATTACTGTAAGTACTGACCAATCTACTTATTCAATATATACATTAACATATTTTATATAATATATACAAATATAAATATAAAATGCTACTGAAGCTTTTCAGTATAAGACATCATTTAGATATGTCTGGTCCAAGTACACTTCTGTCATTGTGTATTCTACTTATTCTTTGGGAGTTAGGTGAAGGTGATGTGCACAGGCATTTACTCAATATAAGAAAATCAGCACTGACCCTCTGTGATCAACAGGGTATCCTACTTCCTGGCATGGAGCCCAGATGTCTTGACCCACTTTATTTCTGAGTATTCTCTCTTTGATTTAGAACTAAGACAAGATGTTTAACAAAATAGTCTAGGGGCTTGAGTCAGCTGGATATCTTCCTTCTAAAGGAAGGAGGAGGAAATGTATTCCCAAAGCAGAGGTGTCACTTTATTCCCATAGGAAGTAATCTAATAGATCTTTGGTAAAGTTAGATAACCTCAACCAAGGTGGGGACCAGAGTGAAGCAATGGAGGCAACTTGACCTGGCCCTGAAAAGTGCCTCCTTAGGTGCTTCCCTTCCTTCATCTGCTTTACCCTAGTCCTGGCCTTGCCCCAACTTACATCTTTGACCACTTCATCCAAGTCATGAATTTTATTTTCATTGTAAGAAGTGAATTTCCATTTGGCATGAGACAATCTAATTCCTATATGCAATGAGGAGAATAAGGCTGAAAGATTATAAAATTGCAGGAAGGAAGATTTATGAATTAACTTCTTTGTGTAACATAAGATGGAAGGAAAATTTTACACTAATTCACTGAGAGGAAGCCAAGTTATTTCCAAATACTCCACAGTCTTTAATTTTTCTACTCAAAATTGGTTATTGCCAGCCTAATATTTTTAACCTCAAAGCTTTCTCTAGGTAAGCAATATAAGGGAAGGAGAATTTGAATTTATTTTGCTTCATTGAATCATCAGACTTCACTAATCTTGATGCTTTTTCTAGCCAACAAATCAAAGTAATGTCAAAAGCTAAGTTAGTTTTCTGAGTGTTGATGACTAATTTGAATGTACGAGTTTTTTTGAAAAAAAAAATACCATGACTGAGTCTGCATACCCATCACTTTTTAATGGATTGTGTTAGTAGTGAAATCAACTGCTGATATAACTCAGAGAGACCCAGCTGCCTGAGGATTTCTTCATTGATTTCAAATGAATTGAAACTTTGATCCATTACAGCATTCAGGAGAAGCCATTATTATACATGCTCTGTAGCTACATTTTGCAAATGTTAATTTCTCAGTTATATTAAAATCAATTTTCTTAAATAGCAAAAGGCACCAGAGTGAAAGAGAAACCACTAAGACAATTTTTTTGTTCTTGGGCATTTTGCTGTATTATGAGTCTATTAATTTTCCCAACCAGCAGGAAGAGAATTAGAAAAATTCAAATATTATCACAAACAGGATATTAGAAATCAGCCCTTCAGTAAATTTTTAACTCTCAATAATACATTGCTGAGATCTGTAAACTTACTAGAAATACTTGTTTTAAGAAACTCCTACCCTTTAGCTCTTCACAGTTTTTATACACTGACCATCTAGTCTTTGGGTAGAAACTAAAGAAATAATCTGTCTTAAATTAATTCCTCTCTTTGACATGTGATCAAATATTCTACAAGAAAATCAGACAACTTCTAAATGGGTTTCAGTTCATATTGCATCATTTTCAGGTGTTATCAGAGATTAATTTAATCTTGAAACAGCTTGAGAACATGAGAAGTAATTGATACGGAAGTAGAATATAGGATTCAGTGTCATTCATTCCAGAGGAAATTGACTCCAGTTTGAAGCCAAACATGAAAAATAATGTGAAATTTGGTGTTATTTAGGGACAGTGCATTATTTGTCAACCAAAAAAAGTCAAGATGCAATCTAATTGCTCCCTTATTCTAAACCTATCCACTTACCACAGATTAATTTATGTTTTTTTAAGATTTTATTTATTTATTCATGAGAGACAGAGAGAGAGAGAGAGAGAGAGAGGCAGAGACACAGGCAGAGGGAGAAGCAGGCTCCATGCAGGGAGCCCCGATGTGGGACTCGATCCTGGGTCTCTAGGATCATGTCCTGGGCTCAAGGAAGCACTAAACCTCTGAGCCACCCAGGCTGCCCTAATTTACTGTTTTTATATTAGCTAATGTTATATAGTGTCAATGTCTCAAAAAAGTAAATCTTTAGTTTCTTACTATTGCTGGACAATTCATTTGGAATAAAAGACATAACTAACACCATATTAGTGTTTAATGTCTTTTGCTTGGCCAATATGAATAACTTTCCTTTAATAAATACTCTTACATATTTCTTTCCTAAAATAAATATATCAGAGTTGCACATTTCTTTTGTGTTTCAGCTTATTTCAACACTACAAGCTATATGAGTTTCTATTCTACTCTACCAGGGAAGAAATTGTGATAGGAACTAAGGTAAGTAATTTATCTAGATGAAACCAATTAAGCTGAATCACTTAATGCATGCTGATCAGCATCTGGATCTTTAACTGCTTAAAGCAACTTCTTGTCAAGATTACTCAAGTGTTAATATAACCAACTAGTAGTTTGCAAAAAGAATAATTACATAAAGTGAGCTTTGGATTAAGAAAATAAGCTGTCTTTTGGAATTAAAAGCATTGTTAATCATATATACTTTATGTATTTATGGAATATTTGGCAAATCAAAATTGAATGGGTTTTGTATGTCTTCATACAAAGAAAATTGGGAAAAGTGAGATAAATCAATTCATTTAAGTCTCTTCTAATTTCACATTTTTCCCCAATCTACTCATTTTTTAAGGTCTAATTCAAATCCCACTTCCTCAACGAAGCAAACCTTCCTTAATTGCATCACATCTCAAAGGAAGGGTTTAGACAACGTCTTTAATCACATCCTATTATTTTATTCTAGCTACACTTACTATACCAATAAGCACATAAATATGTACTATGCTAATATGATTTTCTAATTATTTCTGTGGATTAATATAGTCAACACAATTCAACTGCAGTTTCCTTGAAGGCAAGGATGAGGTGCTGTTTTTCTACCAAAACAGAGTATAATGCACCTTAGCCCTTCAACCAAACTATGTAAGAGATTCAGTGACATTGAATACAAAAGCGTTTCTACAATAACTGATCTATCTGAAAACTCTTTGGAACAGCTTTACATATAATTATATAACCATAATTGCTAGAAATGAATCCTGGGTAAGGAAACATCTGAAGGAGGCTAAAGATCCCATAAAAAGTGCTCCTTAGCTTCTCAACCATGGAGGAGGCTATGTTGCCCAGAAGTATCAGGCATAGGAGTGGCCATGGTCATAAATAAACAGTGAATAAGGAGATATATATGTTATCTTTGAAGTTTTCCTGATATTAAACACCAGGTGGAATGTGCCAACTTTCCTATCTGCCAGAGTGTTGTTATAGTGGATTTTATAAAGTGTTTGCTTCATAATCACTTCAATTGGTTGTTACTCATCCTCCATGGGGGTACTTCTCATAAGAAGCTGGTCTTTCAAGTGAATTAAAGGAAAACAAGGAGCCTTTATTGCCTTTGACTTTCCTTAAAGTTTTCTCTTAGTCTCTTCATACTATATCTTAAATTAGGTGTCACTTGACAAAGTTTCACTGAAAACATTTCCACTGGAGAATTACATCACATAGTACAACAGTGTTGCAATAATGATCACTTTGCAACAAAACTTTGGGAAAATGATAATGGCTTCAAAAGCAGCACAAGCAGATATTTAGAATCATCAAGAAAAAAATTCATAAAGAACTCCCTTTTCCCTTTGTTATTGCACAATCATGCCTTTCCTTGTTGTAAGGATATATTTAGGTGACATTTATGGTTATAGAAAGAAAAAATGGAGAAAGTAGACTGGTTTTTGGTGCCTTTATTTTCCTTTGTCTTTTGTATTTTCTCCAAGCTGACCAGAGCTGTAAAAAAATCTTTAGTAAAAGGATATTAGGTCTTCAAGAATTAGACCACTCATGGTATTTTAAAGGATTAACCAAAGTAGGTATTATACTACAATATTTAATGGCATTGTAGAAGAGTCTGATAACTCTTGGTGCAAATATCTGTTTTTTAATTAACAACCTTTCATAGAGAAGGCAGAGGTCTGCCCTGCTAATGTGATTATTCATGCTGACCTCAGTGCTCTGGGACCAAATAAGCTCCACACAACAACTGCATAAATGTTCCAAATTTAGCTCTCAGGCTAGTGTTTAAATTAAAGAACACTGATAAAATTTAGTTTCTTTCTTAATTGTGGATAGGCAATTATAATAAAACACATAATTCCCAAGTATAATTACTAAATATTAATTTTTGTTAGGAAAAGAACAGAAATAAACCATAGTCATACTTTTCTTGGGTTTTAGTTTAAAAGAATTGGTTTTTGTTTTGTTTTGTTTTTGAATTTAGTGATCACTTATGGATAGCTCTACTCACCCTTTCCAAGAAATTTCATATTATGCTTAGATCATAGAGGCACATTTTCAGTAAATCGTTGTTCCTGACCTTAGATGCTTCGTAATCTAGAAATATTTCTAAAACATTTATAGATACAGTTCTATAAATGACATTTTGTAGTTCACTGGGTGGTTCACAGATCAGACATCTTATCTTGAAAGGTAGCAAACAACCAGAATGAGCTAGGATAATGACAGAATGGAGGCAGCAAATTCCCATAGTTGTAGCCACCTGAGAAGATGAAATATATGAGTTTCACTCAGTATTTAAAGAGATAAGTCACTGAATTCTACTCCTGAAACCAATATTGCATTGTATGTTACTTAAAATTTTAAATAAATAAACAAACAAATTAAATAGATAAAGAGATGAGGATTCCCTTTTAGTCACTTAAGGCAGGAGCTTTCCGTGTCTTGTGACAGTGCAGTTAGCCCATAGATCCTCTGACACCAGGCAGCCTGGGTGGCTTAGAGATTTAGTGCCGATTTCAGCCCAGGGCATGATCCTGGAGAACCGGGATCAAGTCCTACGTCAGGCTCCCTGCATGGAGCCTGCTTCTCCCTCTGCCTGTGTTTCTGCCTCTCTCTCTCTCTCTCTCTCTCTCTCTCTCTCTCTCTCTCTCTCTGTGTGTGTGTCTGTCATGAATAAAATAAAATCTTAAAAAATAAAAAAAAAAAGATCCTGTGACACAGAAATTGTAAGGGAATCAGACTCTCCTTAGGGTATATATATCTTCCTTGGCCCAAAGCCACACTCAGGAAGAAACCTGGAAACTTCTCTGTTCTTTGCTTTTGTTACCTAAAAACTACAAGAAACATTTAATAATTGCACACAAAGAACACTATCAGATATTAGCAATGGTGATGATCAAAACTTCGTAGCAGATTCCCAAAGTCATGGTTCTAGTCAGGTATCTACCACCAAGAATCTACTAAAATGAGGTGATATAACTATAAAATTATGTATTTATTCATTCAACATCTGTTACCCAGTCCCTAGTACATTGTAGGTTTTGTTAACTTCCAGGGACACAAAATGATAGGCAACGATTCTTGTCCTCAAGGAGTTGACTATCTAATGAGAGGAGAAAGGTGATTAAATAATTAATAATAGTGTAGGACCCAAAGTGTTAAGATCCTATGCAAACAAATAGAAGACAAAGAGGAACATCTAATCTGTAGGTTTAAAGCTTATAGAGGAAATCTAAAGGTTGTGAATGAGTTAGACACTGTACTGTGTTTGGGTTTTTGTTTTGTTTTGTTTTTGTTTTTGTTTTTTTTTTGTACCATGAAAGAAATCTCACTTAAAATAGTTCAAGAAATAAGAAAAAGGAAGGGTATAGAACTTGGTCACCAGCTGGTAAATTGAGAGTGAGCTGGCCTAACATTAACTGGCTGTACCTAGTCAAACCATCTGAACCAAGTGATGCAAATATCTCAATCTCTTGTCTCTCTTAGACCTTTTTCATCTCTTTTCTCTGATTCTTTTTATTTTGATCTCATCCCCCTCCACTGCACACTGTCCTTCCTCTAACTAGTGGGAGATATGACAGAGGCAGCTCCAGTTGAGCAACTCCAGGAGAAAGGGATATTCTTCCTTGCAATGTTAATATTATTGGCCCTGCTTGTGCCATGTGTCCACTCTCAATTAATCACTGTGGCCAGAGGAGTGGAGTAATGCTACTAGAAGATCCAAGTAGACCATCTTGAACAAGTGACAGAGGATAAATAGATCCCCAAAATAAACAGAAAAAGCCATTACAAAAGGGAAGAGTGACTTTATCAAAATAGTGACGTAAGCTATTATTTGCCCCTCTCCTACCATCTCTTGCAGAAAGTTTTGGCAAACAAACATCTCCAGGCAAGTGAACCAAGACCATCTAATGTAAAGAAAAGCTGGCAGCCCAAAATCACCAAGCAGTTGAGGAAAATAAAATCATAGGTAGACATGAAACTCTATGAACAAGTCAAATAATAGCTAAGGAACAGAGTTGATAGAGCAAATGGTAGAAGATTTTAAGTTTGATTGATATTCTTAAGAAAGTTTGAAATTTTATTGTATTCTTAAAAAAAGAACTAATAGAGATCTTGGAAATTCAAAATAGGATTTGAAAACTTTTAATAAAGTATCAGGTATAATCTTATGTAGATAGGATTGAAATATAGAAAAAAAACTTGGAACTGTAAATTACCAATATTTACTTGAGGGGATGTAGGAAATATTAATGGAATGATAATTATATAAGATATTTAAAAATCCAAATGTAAAAATAGCATCAGATCCAGAAGATATTATAGGCTAGTTTCACCAAAATGTCTAAAGTTGATAATTTCCTTTTATGTAAAAATTGTGATAGAGAATAGAAGGAGATGGAGAGCTTTCAACTTATTCTTTGAAGTTAGTATAATTCTGAGAATGCTTTCAACTTATTCTATGAATTGATAATGAATTATAATGAAAAGTGAGCAAGAATAATACAAAGTTATGGGAAATCTCAGGTATGAAGATAGATGCCACAATCTTGAATAAAATATTAGAAAATGAAATATACTAGAAGATTGGATGTTCAAATAGGATTTATTCCATATATGGAGTGGTGGTTTAACACTGAGATATCTATTAATGCAATTAAGTACAATATCAGCTTAAGGGGAGAAAAACCAAGTGACCATCTCAATAGATATGGTAAAGCATTTGATAAAATTACACACCCATTTTTCACTTTAAAAAAACTCAAGTTAATCGGTGTTATAGGATTATATTCTTTTTTTTTTTTAGGATTATATTCTTAACTGAGAATATGCCAACACAAGAAACTCTCTAAAAGTATCTTAATGAAAACATTAAAATACCCCTAAGGAACAAGGCAAAGCTGATTATTATTATCAACAATGCTTTTTAGTTCCTAGCCAATGTAATAAAACAAAAAAGAAGTCAAAATAGAAGAAAA